GATGCTGGGAAAAGCGGCATCAACAACGAAGCCATGATCATGGTCTATCAAAAGGCTATCCGGCCACCCCTCCTTCGTGGGGCACTCACTGGAAAGGAACAACTCACCATCGAAGACTGGATGAGCACAGTAGCGAACCTAGACGCTAACTGGATCAGTGCCAACACTATCTCGGAAGGAGCGTGGGGCGCCAGAAACAGAGAAAGACTGAACGACAGAAACCGCAAAAGTGGACCATCCACCAGCACCAGAAGATTAACCAAAGACGAAGAAGAATCAAGGAGAAAAGAGGGAAGATGCTTCATATGTAACGAGAAAGGACACATAGGAAGGAATTGTAGGAACAAAGGAAAGACTTCCAAAAGAAAGGTACGTCAAACCAAAACGGAAGATGACACCAAAACAGTGGTAGAAGAAGACAGGGTCCAAAACATCATGAGAATGTGGAGAGAGTTAGGAGAAGATCAACGAACAGAGGCAATGAAAGAATTGGAAGATGAGGGTTTTTAAAACAACGGACTACCCCGATGTTAGTACTGTCGAAAATGGCAACTGTAACAATAGCAACAATCAATGCCAACTCTTTATGAATCGATTGCTCGTTGAAACAGAAAACCATCGGAACCAAAGCCCTGATAGATTCAGGAGCTACAGACAACTTCATGGACACCAAATTCGCCATCAGACACCGACTCCCCCTCCAAAAACTCCCAACTCCTATAACATGTAAAAATGTTGACGGAACCACGAACAAAAACGGAAAAATTACGCATTGCACCTATCAGAGGATAGATGCAGCAGGACAAAATAGGTTCACAAAGTTCCTATTGACCGGACTAGACGGAGAAGACGTATTACTGGGATTTCCCTGGTTACGAAAAGTCAATCCCGTCATTAACTGGAAAGACAAGGAATTACCAAACTCGGACAAACACTCCATCAGGATGAACCAAACAACCACGGAAACGAAAATCAGGACAACCGCAGTAAACGAAGACATGTATGAAACCATTCATAGATACGTATCCAACCAAACACCCTATCCTCGAACCACAATTTGATTAAAGGTCAACTCGGCAATGGAACACGCGCAAATACATGGAGAAAAGAAGGAGCATAACCTCCCGAATGAATATAAAGGGTATTCGGATATCTTTGACAAAAAGAAGTCGGAAAGACTCCCCAAGCGACGGGAATATGATCATGCAATCAACATGAAACCAGAATTTGTACCAACAGATTGCAAGTTATACCCATTGGCACCAAAAGAAGATGAAGCATTAACAGAGTTCTTAACGGAAAACTACAGAAAGGGATACATCAGGCCGAGCAAGTCGCCACAGGTGTCCCCTTTCTTCTTCATCGGCAAGAAGGATGGATCACTCCGACCGTGCCAAGATTACAGAAAACTGAACGCATATACCGTGAAAGACCCCTATCCACTACCCCTGATACCCGACCTCATCGAAAAATTGAAAGGAGCCACCATCTTTACGAAACTAGATCTACGTTGGGGATACAACAATGTAAGGATAAAAGAAGGAGATGAATGGAAAGCTGCGTTTAAAACCAGCAAGGGAGTGTTCGAACCAACGGTCATGTTTTTCGGCATGTGCAATTCACCGGCAACATTCCAAAGGCTGATGAACGACAAATTCAAAGACTACATCGATGAAGGTTGGATGATCATATACATGGATGACATCCTCATCTTTGACACGAACATTGAAAGACTCCGAATCCGAACGAAACAGGTTCTACAAAGACTACGCGATAACGACCTATTCCTAAAACTAGAAAAATGCACCTTCGAAGCGGAAACCATTGAATACTTAGGAATGATTGTTTCCCACAATCAGATATCGATGGATCCAGCCAAACTCGCTGGGATCCGCGATTGGCCAATCCCGAAAGACACCAAAGGCGTAAGGAAGTTCTTAGGTTAGGGAAACTTCTACAGGAAGTTTATCGGTCATTACTCTGACCTTGCCAGACCCTTGAATGCCTTACTAGAAAAGGATAGGAAGTGGAACTGGACCCAAACTGAAGACGACACTTTCAAATTGATGAAACAAAAATTCCTCGAATCCCCCGTAACACAAATTCCCGACTCCTCAAAACCGTCAAGGATTGCTGCAGACGCCAGCAAACACGCCACAGGAGCTGTATTAATGCAACCCGATGACCAAGGACAATGGCACCCATGTGCATTTTTCTCCAAAACTCTATCCCCGCTGAAAAGAACTACCAGATCTACGACAAAGAGTTATTAGCGGTAATGAGAGCTTTAAAAGAGTGGAAACACTTACTTTTGGGAAGGCCCCACACGATCCAAATCCTGACAGATCACAAGAACCTGACATACTGGCAAGAAGCCAGGAAACTCACACCGCGACAAAGAAGATGGCAGCTGGAACTGTCACAATACAATTACACCTTGGAGCACGTACCAGGAACCCACATGGTGGTACCCGACGCACTCTCAAGAAGACCTGATTTATACGTTGAAACAGAAGGAGACGACAATGACACGCCAATGATACCCACCTCAGCATTCCTGTATCACACACGAACGATTAAAAACACAGTCGAGCAAGCCATGCTCACAAACGATAATTATCCAGGAAGAACGAAGAAAAACGATTGGAGAAAAGAAGAAGGACAGTTCTTTTATCAAAATAAATTACTGATTGACAAAGTAGAAGAACAAAAGACGATCATCAAAGATCACCACGATTCCCTGTCCACAGGACACCCAGGTAGGCTCAAAACCTACCAGTTGATCAAAAAGGCCTATTGGTGGCCAGGAATGATGAAACAAGTGGAAGAATACGTAAAAGGATGCGCAACTTGTCAACAAGCAAAAGTAAACACGCATCCCACCACCGTACCATTAATCCCAAACCAGACCCCAAAAACCACTGAACCGATGAAGTACCTATCCGTAGACTTCATAACTGATTTACCAGAATCTTCAGGATACGACAGTATAATGGTCGTGGTAGACCAAGGACTTAGTAAGGGGGTAATCCTCTCACCTTGTCATAAAACCATTGACGCACTCAAAACCGCACAAATCTTTCACGATTCCATCTTCAAACGATTTGGATTGCACGATAAACTCATATCCAACAGGGGACCACAGTTCGCCTCTGAAGTATCCAGAGAACTCCACAAACTCCTGAACATTGAAACCGCACTCTCCTCTGCGTACCATCCCCAGACGGATGGACAAACAGAACGATCCAATCAAGAACTGGAGATCTACCTCCGCATATTTTGCCAGAACCAACCACACAGCTGGGCAAAATACCTTACTACCGCCGAATTCTGTCACAACCAAAGACCACACTCCACAAACAACCAATCACCATTCTACCTCCTCATGGGATATGAACCCCGAGGAATCCCGACTAAACACAGATCCACGAATATCCCATCAGTGGAAAAACGATTATCCAAACTGCTTAGGGCAAGGGAAAACGCCCTAAAAGCACACGAACTCGCGAGAAGCAAGATGATGAAACGAAACAACGGAAAGTTCACGCAATTCTCTGAAGGACAAAAGGTGTGGTTAGAGAACACCAACCTGCGAGAAAAAGCCACCGAATACAAGAAGTTCAACATGAAACGCATTGGACCTTTCCGCATCCAAGAAAAGATTTCCCCGGTGAACTACTGACTATCCCTGCCTCCCCATTGGAGGATACACAATGTTTTCCACGCATCCCTTCTCACACCATATACGGAAACCAACACTCATGGCCCGAACTTTATCCGACCACCACCTGACCTGGTCAACGAAGAAGAGGAATACGAAGTAGAAAGTATTCTTAGACACAAACCCTGGAAACGCGGGCACCGCTACCTGATTAAATGGTGCCATTACCCTCATTCCGAAAACTCATGGGAACCGGAAGAACATTTAACCAATGCTGCGGAGATATTGGAAGCCTATAAGAAGGACCACAAGCTGCGTTGAAGAGACAATCACCCCACTACCAACAACCCTCTGTCTCTCAACACAAAACATGTCTACTTCTAACTCCACCGGCTTCCCTATCACCACCTACTTGATACCCGGCCACGCCAACTTGCTAGCCGACGAACGAGTGTCTTTTGCCCGTGGGCAACGACACAACCAAGCCGACATCACTGACGCCATAGAATTAATGTCAGCAAAAGACACCTATACCTATTTCTTTTATGAGACCAAAAAACACTGCCCCCATGCGTATCACACTCTTTCTTCCATGCATACCTTCCTTGCCATAGACCTCATAGCTGACGAACTCCTAAAAGCCATAGACTCAATACATTCGTTGGAAAGCGAGCATTCGCAGCTCAACAGTCAGGACTTGAGTATCTGTCGGGCACTCCGGATGGAAAAGTTAGTTTTGGAATCTATGGAACGACGCTTGAGGATGAGCTCCTCAAATGGGCAGATGGACTTGGCAAAGGAATATTTGGAATCAGGTGGGAGGACATTGCTAAACAAAGCTCGCACGCGGATAGAGCGAAACGGTTGTACGAGTACTCCTCCACCCGGTTTGTCCCTCCGGTCCCTGTCACACCCAGACCAGACCAGTGTTACCCCGGAGTATTAAGAACAAAGCTTGAAGGAAGTGTCTAGCCACTTGCTGAGAGCAATCAGGGACTGGAACTAGAGTCCAATGTGAGTAACTTTATTATTAGAGAGTATGACAGGTATACAGTACCTAGAGTCCAATGTGAGTAACTAGAGAATAGGAAGCATTGGACTCTGCAGTACTGTCCGAAGTTTTGTAAACGAAAGGAATGAAAATATATAGGTAGCACAAAGGTGCAGAATCACCAAAACTAACACGGAGCGCACTTACCACATCATCACCCGTTGACCTACACCCATCCTGTCGGAGGAAAAATATATTCCCACCGTCCCAACCAGCCCAATCTCACAAGAGTCAAGCCACTCCAGTCCCCGTTCCATTGGGTCGAACCCAAAACCACCGTCTCCCCCATCATCTCCACCTCGACCAGTGCCAAACACCCAAACCCGTCACCTGACGAACCGACGAGGAGCCCGACGCGGCCGGCAAGAGGTGATACTCCAGATCCCCGCCGCCAGAACTCCATCAAAACGGCAGTCTCGTATGTTGAAGGGACAGAAAGACAGTCCGCCTGGCGCAATGCACAGGCCTGAGACTGACTCTCCCTCTAACCCAATCAACGTAGATGATGACGCAGCCATGATTGATCAGTTGTATGCAGGAATGTACGACCTGGGAGATGACGATCCAACCACTCCCCAATCCGACACCTCATCCAACACCCGACAAAGATACCATGAAGGCATTCGTAACAACGCTCCATACTGCCAAAACTGCGGTTGGAGCGATCATCGCACATACTATTGCAAAGCCTACTATTGCCCCGACTGTGACCGTTGTGCACCGGGACATAGTTTCAATTGGTGTCCCATCCGCAGGGAAGACGAGGATAGGATTCTGATGGAAGGATTACATGGAGATGTCAGCTACAATGACAGTTACAATATGGACAGCAAAGGTACCGAATTTCGGTGAAACTCGGAGCAAGTAAGGGGGTAATGTTACAATCTCTATTGGACATTTAAGGACTACTCATTTCTTTTTACTCATCGGTTATACCATCGGACCGATGACTCATTTCCTTCACGTACACTTCCGTTCCTCTCGCATTCACAGTACCTATTATAGTACTTAGTCCTCAACAGACGGACCTGCCCTAGATAGGACCTAACTCCTATCACCGATTCCTTTCCATTATAAATACCATGTAACAGCAGTAGTATTCTCCAATACAATTCTACGCAGTTTACGCTTACAAAGCTAGACTTCTAAGATCAGACTTCTATTCAGAAGAAGACCAACTCCCGTTGGAAAACCTCCACTCAGAACTATGTTCTCGAACTTGTCTTCGGATAAGTCTTTTTACAAACCTTGACGAACCCTCAGACTTTGTTAAGCACTTCGTGCGTAACAGTCACTCCTCTTGCTCTTGGACTAGAGATTACAGCAGGTGTTTTATTACTTTTATCCTTTTTCTTCTTATTTTCTATTCACACTCACGTCCTATCATACCTACAACGAAGGAGACTTGTTGTAGACCCTCGAGAAGATATCCAAATGACATAGCAACGATCCAGTGCTATGTCTGGGAATACTTCGGAGGAATATTGATAAGCGAAGAAGGTTGTGAGTCAGCGCCTTCTCATGGGCTTACTGATACAGCCAATCGCACATCCCTTACCAATACGCTTTCTCATATGATTAGTAAATACGATAGATCGGACCACCTTCTCCTTTTTTTCTTATTGGTTAGCTAGCTGGTCAGACCACTTTCTTAGTTCTTCCCTTTCTCGGTCTGACCATCACCGTTCACTATATAAAAAAGTACATACTCGATGTACTATTCTCTAGTTCAATATTAGTTTGGATTTGCGCTTATACCGATACTCTTCATCCTCATACCCTGATTCATTGCCTTCCAGCAAGGACTTGACCAGGCGTTGTGCTTTGTTATATAGCTTCATATTTGTTGCCTGACAGGTCCCTAACTCAACAGAAAATGGACGGAGGGGAGTAGAGGATGAAAGGGGAGCAGAGTAAAGATCCTTTGGAGAAGGATCAGAAGGACTTAGAAAAGGACTGGTAAAAAGGCGAGGGAATCTAATTGATATTTGAACTGCAGGAATGGAGTATAGGAGCTACAACTTATATACTATTGGAGGAGTAGGAGCTTATAAGGAGTAACTTGTAATGTAGGTACAGAGTTCCTTGCCGATCATTATCTAGCGAGAGGGGAATGTATGTGCAAGGAGTGTATTATAAGGTCTAACTACAGAGTCCATGAGGAATACTAGAATGTGCAAGGAAAAATGTATGGCGGACTAGAAGTTCAGTGCAGAAGTATTGGAGCAGACAACCAGAGTACCATGTGGAAATGGGGTGCAGAGTTGTGCCAACCAGCAGACCATGAGGAATGTAATCCTGAGTATTCCAATGGTTTGGGAGTTTCAGACTCAGAGAATATCTCCTTTGGAGATGCTGGAGTTCTGTCTACCAGTACAGAAATGATAGTAAGTCATGTTGTGTCAGTTATTTTGCTTAGTTTTGCTTGCGTGGTTTTTTGTGGCACCTGACAGTTGCAGCAAAGCTGCAACGGGTGCAACTTGTTAATGCTGGTGTTGGGAGAACCTAGGTTTTGAGCCTCACTATAGTGGTCAAAGCACTTGAGCATCCACTATAGTTATGTGAGGAATCAATTTTTCTCATCACATCCCATCATGTTGTGGTTATCCAACTCATTCCCTGTCACTCCTCTCACCCTTGGACTAGAGATCACAGCCAGTATCTTATTACTCTTACCTTTTTTCTTCTTATTTTCCATTTATACTCACATTCTGTTGTACTTACGACGAAGGAGAACTGTTGCAGACCCTGGAGAAGATATCCAGATGGCATAGCAATAATTCAGTGCTATGTCCAGGAATACTTCAGAGAGATATTAATCAGCAATATAGGCTATGACTCAGTGCCTTCTCATGGGCTTACTGATATAGCCAATTGTACATCTTTTACCAAGACTCTCTCTCACGCAATTAGTAAATACAATAAATCAGACCACTTCCCCTTTTTCTTATTGGTTAATCATTCAGTTAGGCCACTCTTGTACTTTGCTCTTTTTTTGGCCTGACTGCTACTATTCAGTATGTAAGGAGTAGATATTCCATGTATTGTTCTTTAGTTCAATATTAGTTTGGATTTGCACCTATACCAATACTCTTCAGCTCTCATACTCTGATCCACCACCTTTTATCAAGGACTTGGCCAGGCATTGATTGTTGTTATATAGCTTCATATTCGTTGCCTGACAAGTTAGGCTTGTTTGTTGGGAGACCCAGGTGATGTGTAGGTGCAGTTCATGATTGTAATACTGTATGTGTCCAGGTTTTTCTCATTAAAGACAAAGGTGTTTCATCATTATAAGTCAAGAATCCTCATGCTTGCCCAAACGTAGAAATCCACATGCATAAAAGAAATACAAAATTTGCAACAACCAAGAGTTAGTTACTCTGGCGCACAACTAGAACAAACTATAAAGGTAGTGATGAGGGAGTGGTTACCCTTTAGGTAGGACCGAGTTAGTTGTGGGTAAACAACAGGAGGATTTGTTGAGGAGTCTCCTGGATCTATTGAGGTATATATACTACTACAGGTTGTTTGTACATGTTGTACTATACAGTTGATAAAGCAGTGGCTGATGATGTCAGAGGGCGCAGCCTGTGTGACCAGCTCCACTGCATGAGAGACTTGTAGCTAAAATGAGAATAAAGGCAGTGTAGCACGAGAAGGTGGAGTTTGAACAAAATGGAAAGTGCCGCATGGCACGATGTGTGAAAACTACAGTATAAAGTTAAAGAGGAGAATGAAAATCAAAGGTCCAAAAATTGTGTATCGTAACAAAATTTAGCCTGAGAACAGTATTTTGAGCATCACCCTTCCTTGCCTCCCTAATTTCACTTACAGTATGCATGAACTGGGAAGTGCTTTTCTAACCAAACACATGTCACAAAGTACTCAGAAAAAAACAGGATGCTCATAGTATGCACGCAATAGAATCAAGACAAGATAAAGGAGTTGGTTTTACTCAAAATAGGTGTGCTGCAGTCTTCGAGAGTAAAGAAGTGTGCTGAGGGTGAGTCCTGTTCTGAAAGACCTTAAGGACAGGAAATACTTTCTCACAGAGGGCTCAAGGCAAGACTAGATGTGCCTATTACTTACCACCACGGGCAGGACCGGATAATGGACATACTTGCTGGAGCACAATTTTGTCAGGCAACAAATACGAAGCTATATAACAATAATGGATATCTGATCAAGTCCCTGAAGAGGGCGGTGAATCAGAGTACTGAGGTTGAAGAGTATCGGTATAAGCGTGAATCCAAACTAATATTGAACTAAGGAATAATACATCAAGTATGTACTTCCTTATATAGTGAACAGCGATGGTCAGACCAAAAAAGGGAAGAGTTAAGAAGGTGGTCTGACCAGCCAACTAACCAATAAGAAAAAAAAGTAAAAAGTGGTCCAAACTATCGTATTTACTAATTGTGTGCAAAAGAGTATTGGTAAGAGGTATACAATTGGCCGTATCTGTTACAATTGACATACCAGCACCTACTTACGCTTCACTTTTTGTACTTTTACTTTTTTTTTCCAAGTCACATGACTGATCATGTGATCATTTACTTTACTTTACATTTTCGGACTTTTCATAGTCACATGACCAGTCATGTGACACAACACCTGACCAGTGTCTAGACTCATCATGTGACTGGTCACATGCTAGACATCGGACTTTAAACTTTATTTACAACTATACAGTACCTCATGTATTTTAGTATATATACTGAAGCAATACATAGGGAGGGACTCAGTGAGTCCTCCTGTTGTCTAGCACAACTAACTTGTTGAAACCTAAGGGGTGATCCCTTCCTTCTCTCTTCTCTCTTTTGCTTGTCTGAGTTGTGCGCCAGAATAAGAAACTCTTGGTTGTTACAGTATCAGTAAGCCCATGAGAAGGCACTGATTCATAGCTTACCTCGCTTATCTATATTCCTCCGAAGTATTCCCAGACATAGCATTGAATCATTGCTATGTCATCTGGATATCTTCTTGAGGGTCTACCATAGTTCTCCTTCATTGTAAATACGATAGGATGTGAGTATGAATGGAAAATAAAAAGAAAAAGGATAAAAATAATAGAATGCCGACCGTGATTTCTAGTCCAAGAGCGAGGGGAGTGACAGGGAATGAATCGGATAACTGTCAGGCAACAAATACAAAGCTATATAACAAAGCACAATGCCTGGTCAAGTCCTTGCTGGAAGGCGGTGAATCAGGGTATGAGAATGAAGAGTATCGGTATAAGCGCAAATCCAAACTAATATTGAACTAGAGAACAATACATCGAGTATGTACCTCTTTATATAGTGAACGGCGATGGTCAGACCGAGAAAGGGAAGAACTGAGAAAGTGGTCTGACCAGCTAGCTAACCAATAAGAAAAAGGAGAAGGTGGTCCGATCTATCGTATTTACTAGTCGTATGAGAAAATGTATTGGTAAGGGATGTGTGATTGGCTGTATCAGTAAGCCCATGAGAAGGTGCTGACTCACAACCTTCTTCGCTTATCAATATTCCTCCGAAGTATTCCCAGACATAGCACTGGATTGTGGCTATGTCATCTGGATATCTTCTTGAGGGTCGACAACAAGTCTACCTCGTTGTAGGTACGATAGAACGTGAGTGTGAAGAGAGAATAAGAAGAAAAATGATAAAAGTAATAAGACACCTGCTGTAATCTCTAGTCCAAGGGCAAGAGGAGTGACGGGGATCGAGTCTGCTAACCACGACATGACGGGAATGCGATAAGAAAAATCGATTCCTCACAATAACCACAACATGATAGGAATGCAATAAGAAAAATCGATTCCTCACAGATTTGCACAAAAACACTAAAATTCCAGCCACTAAGAAGCCACTGAGGTGACCTGGATGGATTACTTCAGATATTATTAAAATACAATTTGTGATAGCTCAACTAACTTGTTTACTATTTTTTTGAGTAATGGCTGAGATGATTTGGTTCTCATTTGGGGCTTCATGTGACTGGTTCTTTACTGGTTCTTTGAAAACTATGTTTGTATTAGTCTGCATTCAATGTCTGCTCCTATCAAAGGCCTGGCATGGCTTGCAGCCCTATGATGAGCCTAGAGACAGAGGATCATTTTGCCGCTTTTGCAGAGGGCATAGTGGACATACTTTCATGGAAAAATACTTTGCAGGTGCGGACTGGGATCGATCTATTGCCGACCAATCACTACTTCCAGATCCCAAAGTGGGGTCTCTACAAGGTTGCCGTCTTACTCCATCATTGTCAGTCCATTTGTGGCCGTGTTACCCAGGTTTATTCTTTTGAAAAGGTCGATGATGCGGAAAAGTTATTCGATGATACTCTCAGTAATGTCATAAACTTTCCAACCATACCAACCTCCGCTATTCAATGCCACATCTCCATCTTACGCCCGCACACTGAAGGCATCGCACCCTCTTATAATCAAATCTCTAACGGTTCAAATATTGGGAAGCGGTCACGCGACAATGTCAATGAAACCGAAAGCAGCAAACGTCGGAAGCCACACTCTGATGTCCAAGCAGCACAAGGTAGGCAGGATTGGGAATTATGGAAGCTTGACTGGCAGACCATGAATTGCAACAAAGATTTCTCCTCTCTCCCTGCTTACCATCCTCTATCTGTCAGAGCTCAAGAATATTTCTGCACCACCTTTTATGGATGCATGGCCTTTGCATGACCACGACGAGATTGAAGTTTTCCGTAGCACTGAAGACATGATGGGAATGCCTAGTGCTTACGCCCAGTACACAGTTCAACAAGGAAAAGAGGGGGCGTGGATAGTGAATGCAAATGAATGTTCACTTCGGACGATTTGCAGTATATATCCAAGGCGCCGAAAGATACGCAATTGAAGGAAATGGAGGAGAGAACAAGCTCCAGACAATCTGAAAAGGTAAAACACAAGTGCGACGTGAATATGGAGAAGACAACACACAAGTGGTCGATATCAAAGACAAAGTGCGGCAAACTCCAGACGGCCGTGGGCCCGTACCATTTCTTACAAGGCGTGTTTCATGGAATGATAAGTAAGTGTATTTCCTTTCAAGTACCTATCAGGACTGATGCTCCGTTTCCAGCTCACCACAATATGTATTTGGATGGATGGCTGCACCGCAATGTCAATGACAATGATGTTCTATTGTTGCCAACGCCTGAAATGCAAGAGCCTATAACACGGTAAATCTTTGCAAATTGATAATGAACTAAATGTGGTAATCATCTTAACTATTCTAGGATCAATTTCACCCTAAGCTTGACAGAGTGTGTGGGTATAATCTAATCTCTGACGGTGGCCAAGCAATCCAATGGCGACAACTAGATCACAAGCCCAGGACACATCATTCGGTAAGTGACTCGTCTCCAGGTCTGTTATTTAGTCTTAAAATCACTTCAGGGAACACCCCTTTACATGTCTAGGGAACTAGTGAACACGTGGTTTCATGGGAAACCCGTGCTTCATACAGTTGCGGATGACTTGGAATCTTTCCTTTGGGTCATATTATGCGGGTTGTTGAGTATCCGCGACGAGCGTAAAAGTTTAACGTTCGATGAGAGATCATGGCTTCATGAACTACGGACTGCAGGTGGTCCTCACAAGAGTGATGTGATCAAAAGTTGGACGCTATCGATGCTGGAGGAGAATCTCATAAGTAAAGATTTATCCCCTATTTTGAAGGTTTTCGTACCCTTTGTAACAGAAATCCTGCCCGTTATTAAAGAGGGTCTGTGGGCTGTTCGGAATTAAGCTCATCCCAGACAGCTTGGTTGAATCTCTAACAACGCTCGGCGATAAATTATACAAGCTGTGGTTTAAAGCTTTCCTAGATGCACTGCCATTGTTGCCCAAGACCTGGGACGAAGTCTTCAAAGACCCGATTTAACTATGGTTAATGCAGTAATCACCCCCTCGGAGACACTTAAACACTTAAGTACGTCTTGTCCTACGTATCTTCAGTTGGTGCTCTCCTTACCATCATTTCCAGAATCCCACAACTATCCTGTACATATCAATATGCATGTACTTATGCCTCTCCATAAACGGAAGGAGGGTCTGTTGCGTCACTAGTACTAGTCACAAGAGTAGTTACACAACCCACCTTGGGCTTGTTCATTTCATCCTGTTATGCAACTCACTGATCTGTCCTCCTGATTAAAAATATATTTATGTAGCTATATCATATTCATATGAATTTTTTTCAGATGGAACAGTTCGGCTTTTACTGGGATGCCAAAACTAGCATGATAACAACTGTAGATTTTACATATAAGAAAGAAACTATCTGCATATGTTTAAACATCTTGTCCGAGTACAATGTATCAACCACCTGCTGGCTGCCGGTCTACCCTCCTTCAACAGAAGTCACCTTCAATTGAAGTCTGATCTTGATGAACCCATGCTCAAGGCCGCCATTCACTCAGCCACACATCTCGAGGGCCTGGTAGCAAGCTTTTCCCTCTCCTGATGAACTGGCCGTACCCCATCTGCCCCACAACCTGACCATGGCTGAATACAACCTTTCCACGGATGATAGTGTACCGCGGCCAATTCTTAAACTCGATACCTTCAAACGGCGTATAGTCAATCGCATGATGAAGCATCTCATTTGTCAACTTGAAGGGCTCAAACATCTCCTGCGGATACCAGATGGTGAGATCGGCATCAAAGCCAGGACCAATAGCTCCCTTCTTCTTGAGTCCATACAGCTTAGCAGGGTTGGTTGCCGTGACTTCCACAAACTTCTGGGGGGTGATACGCCCACTGAGGACACCGCCCGAGAAGAGAAGCGGTAGACGTGTCTCGACGCCGGGAAGACCATTGGGGATGTAGCGGAATTTTCCGTAGGGCAGGTTGCCGTGCTGTAGGCCGCGTTGCTTGCCGTTAGGATGAGCCCACTTGGTAGGGGCATGATCAGACGAGAAAGTCGTAAAGGTTCCATTTTTAATACCAGCCCATATTGCATCTTGGTCGACTTTGTTCTCTCGGAGGGGAGGAGAACAAACACATTTTGCCCCTGATTTCATGGTGTCAGAAACGAGAATCGTAGACGAAAATATCGTAACTGACCTTCGAAATCGCCCTTGCGCATGCTATCAGCGAGGAGGAATAGATACTGTGGGCATGTTTCTCCGTAGATAGGCAGGAGGCGAGTCTGCGCGTCGCGAATATGCTTCGTTGCATGACCACTCGAGACATGTACCAGAAGTATAGGCGTGTCCATCAGCTCAGCCAGGCTGATCACGCGATTCTTGGAACCACATCAGATTCCCTACAAAGAAGATGGTGACAAAGCTGACTTACCGTAGCTTCGCTTTCAACGATAGGAGGTCGAGAGGTGCCGTGATGATGAGGGTTTGTCATCAGTTTCTTCTCCAGATGCTCAGTCATCCAGTCGATGATATCAGCATTCTCTGCATGGACCATGGTCGTAATACCCAGTTTTCTCGCCGAGTACATCACATCCAGAATCTGATAGTCACGCAGCTTCATGGGTTTGTATGTCATATAGAGTTTCACGCTAGTAATCCCATATTCCTCCACCATCTTCGGGAAATCATGCTCCACGATATGTTCAGTTGGATTGGTCACGATAACATGAAACGCATAGTCACAGTAAGACTGGCCTTTCGCCAGCTTGTGGTACTCCTCAATGACAGGCACAAGACTCTCGTCTTTCTTCATCTGCGATGCAAATGTGATGACGGTGGTGGTACCACCAGCAACGGCACTGCGAGTCCCAGTGTCGTACGTATCCGCGACGTAGTTTGGTAAATCGGGGATTAACCCATCACTAATGACCGTATGATCCACGTCGTCGACGGCGGCTTCGTACAGCTGGGATAGGTGCACATGCGTATCGACCCCTCCAGGTGTGACATATGCACCTTCGGCGTCAATTTCCTGGACACCTGCTGCAGCGATGAGACGTGGTCCAACGGCTGTGATCGTTCCGTCCTGATAAGCAGTAAATGACCGACATTCGTTTAGTGGTCGTCGATAGAGACATCAACTGGAGGTAAGTCTACGACACAAACACACCTTTATGCCTATGTCACAACACTCCCATATGTCTGATGCGGTGACTACAGTGCCATTACGAACTATAACATCGAAATCCATGATGAATAGACAAGTGTCGGACTGAATCCCAACGCAGACTGTTCGAAACGAACCCGCATGATATCTGGGATGCAAAAGATATAACCGAGTCTCTTATCTATGACGTGACAAATGTCAAGCCATCTCTACTTCCAGAAGATAGCAATGAGTCTCGTGCCAGTATCGAGTCCCATATAATGAAAGTTCTTAGGATAAGGAACCTAGTTCCAAATATTGATCAGCCAAGTTGATTGAATATGATGCCAGCTGACCCTCACCTACATAGTTTGAGAGTGTAGCATCCTCCCTCAGTGCGCTCTGAGTCGATACTTCACCGTCCCAGGGAATCATGTCAGACCAATATCAAACTTGATTGGATGCACAAATGCTCTGTATTTCCAGTTGGAAAAGACGTACTCACTTTACCGTGACCGCCTGATGGCCGCCTTAGCTCTGTGGGCTACTCTCACACGACTGGAGAGTTGAGTTGAGTTAGTGGGAAAACCATGTGCATGTGATGATAATGAAATAATGTTTTCGAATAATCTCTTTATCATGGACATGAGAACACTTGAGTCTGCTGATGACTATATGATTCGCAAGATAGCGACTCGTGGGCTGATTCGCCTATGATAGGTAAGAAGACAGACGTAGAATTGTTGAGAAACAAATACGGTCGTCGCTGAGTTGGATGAACACTACGCGGCGCATTCCGAGCACTGTAAAACGGAATTCCCACACAAGGTCTAAGTTAGAATGAATGAGCTCAAGGTGAAGTCTCCTATCAAACAATTTATGGTGTGCAAGAAAAGTTCCGAGTAAATTTGTGAAATAACATAATACAGTGGTTCCATCCATCGTATAAAGCTATGGCTACAACACCAGCGCATGCCAGAATGGATTAATTATCGAGTAAATAAACGTCACTGCGATTTAAATATCGTTTAATCGTGGGCAGTCCTGCCCATTGTTTGTGCTGCATCTTTCCCAGAAGTCTCCCGCACCTCTCCCTTGTCGTGCATAGCAGGCTTATTCATGTATTTGCCCATGACCTGAAGAATAAAATCATTCGTGAGTATTTTCGAAAGATCCGTCCTAAAGCCAACTCACCTTCTGAGTCTTTCCGACGATTTTGTCACTCATTGTGGCATGGCCTTGCGTTGAATCATCTTGCCCACCTACGGCTACCCCACCTAGTAATGTTACAATGTTTATCAGGTGTCTGTGATTGTTTAGAAAATATGAATATATTTACCTGCGCTGGAAGGCTGCACGTCCGGCTGCCGGTCGCTATCCAAAGCAGACTTCCCCTGCGAGCTTTTCTGCTGGTTGTATGAGATATGAGATGCTCCACCCGCACCAGTCCCTACTGCAGGAGAGCCCATAGTGGCACGTGTAGAATCGGGAGAGTCGTACCCTCCAGTGCTCCGCTGAGAAAGCGCGTCTGAAGGTGTAGAAGATTCGTGGATGGCAGAGCTGGGTGTACGCTCGATATTTGCGGGAGTGTAGTCCTGCGCAGAGGTTGCATTGCGTGCACCCGAGCCAGGAAGAGGTTCAGAGGAGTCATGAATGTGATGCGTGGGCCTGGTAGCGTTGAGACCAGCGTTGTTAGCGTTAGATTGAGAGTCGAAAGACATGGTTAAGAATGTATGGATGTTCAGTTGAGTTGGGTTATGAATTGGGTTATGAAATTGAAAACATTGATCGAAAACCCACTACTCTTATATCTCTTGCTGGTAGCTCGTGACGTACGTCATGATGCGTTCATCGAGTTGTCCAAGTTGCAAATGAAGTGCTGATGTCATCGGTGGAATATTGGTGCCAAGTGCAAGTACAACACCACGCTATGACGAGTGCGACATGGTGTTTGGACAGTGCCTCGCGGGGTTTGAATTGATACCGCTGGAGCGGTGGAATGTTTTCAGCAGTACCATATTCGAGTTGACGGACATACAACAATTAGTGGGTCTCGTATCACTTGCATACAGGCACAAGATCATATACAGCTACAGTATTCGCGTGATCTTTGCTATTCACATATTCTATAGAACGAAGATACGTTGAAGGTGCAGCACATTCAGGTATAAGAGAACAGCCATACCATCTGTATAGTTTATAGTCCAAATATGACGGGACGACAATCGCAGCAACGCGCTAACCGTTATCGCAAACCAAACACTACGCCATGGCGGCGAGCCCATTCGTGTTAGAAACTTACACGTGCCTGGCTTCAAGTCTAATAATATAAACGTCCAAGTTTTCTGGCGCACAAAATAATTCAGTTTCTCATCGCCATTGCATAGCATGGGTACAAACCTACTATGACATGGAACTGCGGCAGGTCCTACAATAGCACATCGTCGTGCTGTCCTAACTTAAGAAACCTGAACTGCGGAGTAAACGTACAATTTCGCTACATATAGAACGAGATATCTGATTCAAAATAATACCTATAAAGAAATACAATTTTGTCATTATGCAATGTAAAGTTCGAGGTATCATTGAAAGATATACTTACAATGTCCTGAAATAACTGAAATAAATACGCCGAGCGACGTAAGGCAATATTCCTACAGATCTAAGAACGAAATCATATTGCACAGGAACATTATTACTTACAAATCACCTCACTCGCTGGGAATCGGTGGTAGCTCTCTCTCCGTTTCTCTTCTTGCCATTGGATGCTGCCCCGGCTTCGGCACCAACGGCTCATCGATGCTCCCTACATCTTCGTCATAATCATCCTCCAAAAACTCAGCAGCAGATGGCCCATCGTCTTGCGATAGCCTAATAGCCCCTTCTTGTCTCGACCACGTCTTGAGCCTGCGGCATCACACATCCCGCCTAAGTAACTAGGTCTGGAACCGAATGGGCACACGACTTACTGGTGAGAAACCACGCGGCGAAGGTTGTTTGCTTGCCTCCATAGGAGGAACAAGATGCAGAGAGTGCAAAAAGTGAACAGAAGAACTAGCGGAAAGTTGCCCAACGGCTGAGGCTTGTTGCCTTCGCTAGGTACTATGAATGGTATCAACCAGCTTTCAGATCAAGACACTTTGAGTCATTTGCCGCTAACCTCCAGGAGAGTTTGTTGGTGCCATTGTAACTGTAAAGTGATCTGAAACTCCCGCTCTTTGCCACGATGGGAATATAAACGGTATGACGAAGTTCACAAAGAAGTTGTCAGAAGTAACGGAATTGCCGCCTCGGAGGGGCGTGTAACGACCTATAGTTCCCACGTTAAAGTTCCCACGGTCTGCCTTATAAGACTCATTTTACAGTATTATGTTTCTTTGATTCTTCCACAATCAAAAACGCCAATGATGAGAAACGACGGTGCAGAGAGATGAGCGCGACCCTTGTTGATTCGTCGACGATGGGTCGGCGTTGACATCGCCCGTTCGGCATCACTCTCCTTGTTACATATGTAAAGGGACGGGCTGTTGTACACTCTGATGGCGCCCATTTATGGTCTTGCTTTTCTATTTTTTTTTCTACCAAAAAAAACAAGTTATACTCTGTTAAAACATGAATGAAGTTCAAGTCGTCGTGATATCTGTCGTAAAAAAAATATGTCCATGATAAAGATCATCTCTTTCATAAACATACTTCAACGTCATCGACTCGGCATTTCACCAGTTTAGTCTGTGTGTCGGGCATTGATACCCAAATGGATTGTTGAATAAATAAAGCTGGTGGTAGTCTTCAGCGTCGTACCACGGACCAGCCTCCTTGATTTCTGTCACGATCTTCGTTCCTTTGGGCGTGAAGTGCTTGGCCTGAACTTCCTCAGTAACACGCTTTGCGATCTCGAGTTGCTCCTGAGAGTGGAAGAATATCGCTGACCGGTACTCTGCAGGGGTAATTAGAACGTAGTCCATATAAATGGACAGTATGTTTACTCACGAGTACCAGTATCCGCTCCCTGGCTGTTCGCGGTCGTTGGATCATGGGTACGGTAAAAGAACTCTGCCAAGATGGACCAATGTCAATTATTCAAACCGTCTAATCCCACATAGAATTTTGAATAACACCATGACTAACCTACTAGTTCATCGTACGAAACAATACTGGGGTCGAACTCGATTCTCAGGGACTCGGCATGGTTAGTGCTGCCTGTACACACTTCACGGTAGGACGGGTTCGTCGAAGTGTCCTTTCCACCGGTATATCCCACAGCGGTCTTGAGAATGCCCTTCTTCTGAGCAGGCGGGTAGTGTTTGAGGAAAATATGTTCAACGCCCCAGAAACACCCTGCGGCGAATGTTGCAATCTCAGGCTCGTTAGATGCTATCGAAAACCTGTCAGCGCTTCTCATGATGTGGTGCCAAGATTAGAATGGCCGGACGGGAACTCACCTGAAGTCATAGCCGTCCGATATTGAGAGGGGTCAACGCCTCGACGAGAAAGACCTGAAGATGCAGCGGAAAAGAAAGAAAGACGAAGCTGATTAAGACGACCTAGCATGAATGTCCCGAAGTAACTTATATAACTTTTAGTACGGCAGCCTTGTGGTGACAATCACTGACTGATGTGCAAGTGCAATGCTCGCGTCATACCGAGTATGATACGATACTCATCACATGATGGCCGGAATCTAAAACGCAATCTGACAAACCTATTGAGCAATAATGGCCTGACAAATCCATATCTCAATGTTGGCGGATTACTGATACGAACATAATGCATTCGGTGATAGAATCATACTGTTTGAAGACGAGAAGAACACTAACGTACATTGATGACATTGATACATGCAGCAATACCGTGACATACCTCCCAGGTCCCTCAAATCAGAGACTTGGCAGATGTGTGAATCTGGACGTAAAAAAAACACCAAGAAGACCCGCCCAACACGCGGCACGAATTACATGAAAGAAAAAAATCCTACGACGGCACAGCCGTTGACCAAGAATGCATAATCTACACTTGCAAGAGAGGAAGGAGGAGAAGGTCAAACAAGAGTAGAAAGGCGTTTACATATGAAAGGCTCCCATAACCCGCTCGGTGAGCGTAGATCTCGACGACGATCTCGTCAACGGGATCGGAGTCTCTGTCAGCGTCGGAGAAGTGAAGTCACTGACGTCCCTGTATGATGAGGACGGCGACACGGGAGAGCTGGTAGAATCGGTGGATATAAAAAGCTTCTCCAGCCTATCCTTCGCCGCTTCCAAGCGCGTCTTTCTCTGTGTAAGATCTTGACGACGCCGCTTGAGCTCAGGTGCCTCCTCCAGGAATTTCAAGCATGACTCCGTGCTGACGTCCATGAGATGCAAAGCAACCTCGAGGGACGCCCCAAATGCACGGACGAACTTATCATCGATAATTTGAGGAACAACATCCGAAAACCGTTTATAGGCAACTACGGTCACATAATATTCAGTTTTTACTACCAAGCACCTAAAAAATATAAATCACCTTGGAAATATGCTCGCACTTCGGCCATGATCTCCAGAGCCGGGTCCATGTTATCGTTGGGAAGTAACTTGCCAAGGTCAATAGGCTGACGACCTGTGATTCCGAGCTCATCCAATGCTGTGATTATTGCATGAACCTTGGCCCCGAATGGCGTTTGCAGCATAAGGGGTTCTCCCATTCTTGCACAATCGAGTAACTTTTCAAGAATGGTGTCCTGTTGGAGGGACTCACGGAAGAGAGATTTATAACGTGTCAGGTATTTTTCGCGACAAGTGTAGAAGAATGGCTCGTTCTGAGTGTAGTGCTCGCATTCCATTTCGAATTGCGCATCAAGTCGCCTTTTGGAGGATACTACACATTTGTGTATCTGTTGCTGTATCACAGCACTGAACGAAATAAGTACAAGCAACAATTCACATCGAATGACACCTACTTGACCTGATCTAGCATACCTCCATGCGTGTAGTTGGCGAAATGCTCGCGAAGTGTCATGTTTACATGAGCGGTCAAAATGTCCTCGACGGTCTCGAAACAGTCGCTCATGAGTCCATTCCAATGGTTCGTAAACTCTTTGATAAGTGTTTCGCGAACAGAATACGGGTAATTTCCTGGTAGCTCACGAGTCCGAGAGCTAAAGACAAAGATAAGAGGGAAGATATCAGCATCACTAGCGGCAGATAGCAACCAGCATACCGTCGAGCAAGATCCATGACCTGATCAACGTGCATGAGAGTACCCTTCCCGTCCTCTGCATCGTCTTGAGACGCCATCTGAGTCATCCCATCAAGAACACCTTGAGGTAGGTGCCCAATAGATGTCATTTTCCAAGGTCGAAATCGCGGAACAGTTCGATGTACTTCCAAGCGGAAGGTCTGATACGTGCCATTTATGGCGTACATAAGACTTGGGTAACTTTGGTCAAAGGTTGGAGGCAGTCCTTTCACGTGCTCCGAGATTTTCTTTGCAAAGTCACAAAGAATCTTGATAACCTCTCCCCGAGGATCATCGGTGTGCCGTTGCGGCATCTGGCGAAGCTCATTCTTCACTTCGTGGAGGGAATGAGCGATACCAAGTTGGATTGAAGGAAGCCTAAAGAGCGATGTTTCGATAAGTCGCAAGCTGAGATGGATATTGGTGGCTTGACTTACTGTTGTTCCACTAGATTCGATAGAATGGTGCTTAGGTTTTCGGACAGCTGAGAAGACCCTAGACGTTGTTGGTATCGAGGGCTAAGCGATTTCCAAGGTTCCTTGGTGCTAAAGAATTGCCGTTCGATATGAAGGGCGTCAGTCCTGGAGAGACCTCCCCTAACGCTACTCCTGCGAAGTTCTTGCTGTGACGGCTGTCTGACAGCAAACCAACCATTTCTCAGGGGGATACTTTTATTCTTCAGTATATCTATCCATTTAGCAGCGTTTTCATCGTATTCGTTAGCCAATTGCGACATATCATCCTCTGGATCGTCAATTTTGTCGACCTTTGTTAGAACACCTGGATGGAAATTTCAATTACAGTTATCTTGAAATTCAATACCAATCCGTACCAACAGTCCTTTCCCTCAAAACAGGATCATTGAGAATAAGACGAGCAGCGCCTTGATTCTCAAAATCAGCTATAAAGGCGAGTCGAGAACAACTATCAGAAAGAAAAAAATGTATCACTACTTTAAGTACTTACTTTCACAGGATACGACAAGAAGAATTATGCAATTTTCTCTTTCAATGTATCTTCGCGCCAAATTTTCCACCAGTGATATATCTCCTACGTCTGAACCATCTGGCACATTTGCGATAATTCCTTCGAGGAATATATCAGAGTCAGTGCGCAGTACAACGCATAATAAAATACTAACCTGGTAGATCGTAAAAGTAGAGGTCAGGTACCTCAGGACCTTTGACATGGATGCACACACAATCTTCAGAGAATGTCAAAGCTCTTCCGTTGATTTGGGCATTATTAATGTTCGAATCGCTGAAGAAATTACGGTAGTCGACGTTGGGATTAAGTATCGCAGCTTGTGCGCGACGTAAAGCCTGCTCGACTTGATTTACGTTGGTCAGTACGTCTCCAAATCGTACTTCTGTAGGCTCCTGGAGAATATTTCCCTGAGCATCTCTATGAACTCGGATGCTAAGTTGACAGGACCAGGTGGGGAAGTTTTGCAGGCGACATTCCATAGGACATCTAATTGTGCCACTGAGACAGGGGTTCCGAGTAGGCTAGCATCATGAATTTACCTGGTGCATGTGCCGGCATTCCTGGGTAGTTTTATCTGGAAATAATGGTTAAAATACACATCCTGGCCCTAAAAAATCGTCGTACCCCACTTATAAGCTCAAGTAGTGTGCTCTTCCCGACACTCTGGGAGCCGAGAACCACAATCTGCGGGAGTTCCACTTCACTTTGAATGCTACATGGCATAATCCAATGAACCCGTCAATTCCAATAGGCCATGCAAGATGAATATAACTCGAACCCTGAACTATGGAATGAATTAAGGATCTCCAATAATTCGCGACGCTTCCTAGCATAGCCCTCCAAACTCGGGCTCCCCGCCACTTGGATGCGCGGCGGCTCCTCGAAACCGGGATGAGGGGTGACGGGTGTGCCAGGGGTGAGAGGTGTACCAGAGGTACGAGGCGGCGTGCCACCACGAGGCAATGTGCCAGTGCGAGTTGTACGAATGGACGTCATGATGTAAGGTTAACTGAGGGGAAATGAGCTAACTCGATGTCCTTTGAAGAGAAACCAGTTCTGTAACCCCGCTATATAAACAGCCCACCTACCATTTTAAGAAGGTGGAGGGAGGGCTATAAGGAAAGGGTTTTAGGACATGAGGATAAAGCCTGTAGCTTGGTGATGGGCGCTATTGTTTTTCTCTAGCGCACAAGGTTCTTTAGCTAAGGTTAGCATAGAAGATGACATTGGTGTGCACAAACACCTTATCGTTGCATATAGATGAATTCGGGTTAAATGAAGAAGCCGCGCCAGAGTTACTGAGTTCCACGATGGGAGGGGAGTTGACTTTTACATGGAGCCACAAAGTACTTTCATTCGAGATATCACAATCAATACCCAGAGACGTGGGCTATAAAAGGCCTATATTGATTCCGTAGCAGGTCCAGACATAAAATGAAATCAAGAGGTCGAAGCAAACCCTTGATTCTGCATTCCTAGGGAAGGATAGGGCTTCCCAGATTGCACAGCGGTGCCAAATTTTACTTTTGGCAAATCTTAAAGCCGCGTAGAAAGGAGGAGTGGCGTGAAAAAAGAGGTGGAAGGACATCCGTAATGCTGATGGCAAGGTTGTATCCTAGAACTCCTAGCATTTTGCGTTTACCATGCTTGATGTGCCAGCCGATGCCCTGCATATACAGTGTGGATAGTCGGTTGATCAGTGCGCATCTAGATAACCTCATTTATAGGCAACCTCATATATATTAATCTTGCGAAATACTCGCAACGTATTTCGAGAAGTCGCGTTAGGAAACCGCAGAACTTGATAGATCAAGGCTACAATGAGACAAAGGAAGACATACTGTAAATTCAAGCGAATGCAAATGTAACACACACTCACATTTTTATGGCAAACCGCGGCGTATGCTTTTCGGTAATTTGGTGAGAAATATCGATCGTAGAATGCCTCGGGGTTACGACGTGTTGTGGCCAGCCATAACTGAAAAAGCTAATACGCGTGCACTACACGACTTATGAAATCTTGCAGAACTCCACGATGCCACATGGTCCGTTCTAGAAGTGTTTAGGGGTATACAAGGCAAAAACGTGTGATACTGCTATGAAAAGCAAGAGCTCTGTGTGTCAAGAGCATTCGAGTTCAGGCGATTGGCTCGGAAGCTTGAGGATTTATTGCACAGATGTGGATTGAACACTGAAACTGTAAAACCACAAGGGTCATTTTTTCAACGTTGCAAGCGTTGCAAGCACATGATGACTCAAGCTATCGAGACTCGGAGAGGATTCAAGTTGAGATTCGGACTCCGGATTGGTCAGTATGTCACAGTCACCAGAGCTTATTATTGTTTGTCCATGTTAGGATCGAGGGCTAATGGCTTCTACGTGCAACTCCTCCACAATGACGTCGACGGCATGCTGTTCTACTCACAAAGAGTGATCAGAAGCGCCGATATAGTAGTTATCGACAAAGGATTCTTCTGGAGCATATCCGTGTTAGGGCATCCATATGATCCTTTGCTAACTTTCAGGCTAATTCCAGGCTTATAAGTACATGATATGACATTCTGAACAGTAAGCTATCGTACAACTCTAAAGTTCACTGGAGAAATCAACCGCAATATACACCTCCAGGACAACCGATACTAGTACCATAAATTGCCCCGGAAACGCCTGCAATCGTAAGCACTGCATTTACTATACCGCCAAGACCTTCTCCAGCAATGAAGCCAGCTGCCACTGCATAGCAGTACATCTGATAGTTCGCAAAGAACCTGTAGAAATATAATATTCAGGATATTGTTTAGTAGCTTAAAAATATGCTCACTTTTGTCGCCAAAAGAAAGCGACCGTGGACCCAAAGAACATTGCCAGTGGATATGTGCAGACATCTATCATGTGAAATAATGTGATACTTATTCTGTAGAAATCACATGGGACGTGTTACTTACTCATGATGAAACCGATTCCGATGGCATTGAAGTTACTGTTGGCAGACTTAGTGCTCATACGTTTATACTGCCACAGTAAAATAAGACTTACGGCACCCAAACATGGTACTTCGGAGGCACTACAGTATACTTCGCCACAACGGACAGCACCGCGGCGATGCCCAGACCAATGGCAGTATAACCAGAAGATGTAGGAATTGGTAGTGATGTGGACGATACCGCAACTGCCACAGCCTAACACAGTGCAAGCTCAGCAAGTCCAGAAAACATGACAGCCAACAAAAACTTACCCGCCATGACTGCACATCTGGAGTGGGAAAACTGCACGTCGTGTAGCTAAGATCGTTGATACACGGATATGCAGTCGAGAAGACAACATATATACCCGCTGACATAAAGATCGAGACTATAGCGCCACATGATTGCGCCCAGAAAACGGCTCTTGGAGAAGCTCTCAGTAGATGAGTTGTTTTCAAGTCACTAATCATGTCCGAGGCTTTCACGTGAAAATATGAGCCAAGAACGTGGCTCGAAAATTAGAGAGAGAAAATCCTACCTTGCTCCGCCGCCCCTATTACAATTGGACGAATAAGTTTCATATCGTTGTTGATCGTTTTACCGCCTACCTAAAGCTAGCATCCCTGATAAGGAGTTCAGGAGTTCGCCGCGACGCACTGAGTAGTGCCTGCCCTTGCCCACACCGCCAAACACGAGTTGTGATGCGTTTCCTGATAAATCACATGAGCGTCAATCGACAGAGAGTAAGTAGGAATCTACCGATCGAAGTCACAGGATTGATGTTCGTGCGGCCAGAACTTTCGCACCCTATGAAACTGAACAGGAACGAGAAGATAATGGCTAGGCCGCATGGTGAGCCACACAACGATGCTGAGTGGCTGAGAGCTTACCAAGAAGAGTGATGCCGACATTTTGTTGGAACTGAACCCCCATGACAGTGCATGTAACAATGATACTGGCTACAAGCACAGAACCCCAAATCCAGAACGGCACGCGTTCGTGTTCTGGAACGGGATCAAAAAATTCTTCTTTCTGATCAGTACCACCAGCTACTCTTGAACCAAAATGGAAGCGCTCCATTAGGCCTTGGAAAGCAATACGGCCAGCTGCAGATAGTGATCTCCAGTTACACGCGACTTCTGCAAAGCTAGCACATAAAAGCATCAATGTTCCAGGCCATACAAGCCAATAGCGGGGTGAAGGATGATTGATAGGATCCGTGAGAGACCTGTCACATTTAGAAACCATGTCAGATATGGGATACAAGGATTCCAGGTTTCATACATATCCATGTAGTTCATGTATCCTGGAATGCTTGCATCTGCAACTATCCCAAATGCCTGTAGTCAAGATTCAGTAAGCGATGTGTATGAACTACTAATATCGCACTTGTCCAGTTGTTACAATCGCAGGACCCACAATTGCCCAAGCAAGAAAACTCTAAGGGAAAAATGTCAGCATACATTGAAATAACCCGAACCTATACTTACGCCTCCCAAGAAACTGTAAGATGAGTTAATTCCTGTCAGCATCCCGGCACCTATGAACGCAGGTGTCCACTCCCAAATCCATCCCTGTGAGTACAAAGCAAATATCAGATCAATTAAAGCATGTTCACATAATAATTGAAACTCACCCAGCTCTCTGCTCGTATAATCCAGTCCCAACCAACTCTGTTGAGGGCATAAAAGATATGCCAGTCCCATAGAAGTCCGGGTGCGTATTCACTGACAACCCGTAGCGTAATGGCAAAACAGAAGGAAAGAATCAAGGCCTTCGTCTTTTTTGTGGCATCTCTAGCAGCGTGCTTGCCCACATGTAGAGAACGAATGGTGTAAGCAGCAGCTACACCCGAAGGAAATACAAGTTTCAGCTTCAGGATGTAAAACTTTCGCAGAGGCTAATAAATAGATGAGATACTACGTGTCGAAAACATAAGCACAGGGGTGCATACCTGAGTGAATGCAAGTCCGAAAAAGGCGCAACATATGGTGAAAGTAAACAATCGGCCAATATCATCTTTAGGGCTAGCACCCAAAACACCAAGCTGATAGAGAGCCGGGAACCCTGACGTGAAAAGCAGTCCCAAAGATCCTGCAGACGACGCTGCGGATTGGCAAACATTATTCTCCTTAGGTCCAAAATAACCACCTCCTAGGTATTTCGGAGCGGCAGTTGAGAGAGGTTTCAATATAGCAAAACCGAAGATCGACCCAAAAAGAGATGCGCCGAAAGTCCATCCCGTCTGAAGAAAAGAAAAGCAGACATGTTCTCTTTATTCAGCGACATGTTATCACAGTGTATTTCTTAAACGCTTACCTTCAAACCAAGATAGACGTTGCTCGCAGAAATTACTGCCCCTAGACCACAACCAACTATCACAGCACGAAAAGTGAGCTGTTGCTCTTCAATCGGTGAGTCAGGATCTTCAGGGAATGGATCATCGGTGTTGACTTGTCGGCTGTTAGTCATGTCGTCAGTCCCATGATCCGAAGAACAGAGCTCTTTGGTCGAAATGATATCGACAACAGAGACACGCTTTTCGTTCTCTATAGAAGACGACGAAATTGACTCCTTGGCATCTGGTGAAGACACCGGATGCACGTCGAAAACCTCGCTCATGCCCACTATACCGACCTCCGGATGAGAACTCATGGTAAAGGAAGGCGGATAAACAACTTGGAGTCATCGCGTCCTCTCCCTTTTATGTTTTCGCCTTATCCAGCATGGATTATGGTCAGCTGTGCAGCTTCTTATCAACACTGACGGGTATATAAGCAGGAACGAAACAAGACCTCCTAAGATAAGAACCATGGAGTATGGCGTCGCAGGCGTCTTCAGACAGGCTTATCTATTCTTCATGCCTCCGCGAACATAATGTACATGAAAACGAACCAAAATACTTTTGAAGAATCTACGTACATATAATGCGAAATCAGCGAAGACGTTGATGGCGCAGCCATCATATTTCTTACCAGATCATTAAATGCAGCATACTACGAGAGGAAGGAGCATGCACCGGATAGAGGAAACAGCTGATAAGCTATTCCAATAATAAGGTATGAATTCCCATGGAGTATCAGATGCACATGCGCGAAATCTGTATATATAACACACACCATCAGAACACCCGCGGACCGAAGATACCTCTGTTGCCTTGACATGGAAGTTGATGCAGAAGTAGAATTCGGATATATGGGTTGTCGAGACTTTATGGACATTCCCGACAGAGGTTCTTTTTTGGCGGAGCAAGATTCTGTCAGATTCTGTCATTTGCGGGTGATGAGCACACGCGATCCGCACGAGAGCAACATAGTTGCGATCTTTGCATTGACTTGAAGGCATGTTCGAGGTAATAAACAGTCCAATACTAGTAGTCTAGATATTTACTAATGATATCGCCCGAGTGCAGGATGTGTATCTGTGAATCAACCTTCCAAGATTTTTTCCCTATAAACCAAACTTACTCACATTTTATTCTCATCCATATCTATATAGGCACCTCTTTTACGATGATTGAGGAACAACTGGTCAGGAGCGTCAGGCTATGAGCCAGGATTATGCACTGTTTTGAGGTGGCGCCAGCCAATTTCTGGGTCTGTTTATTATGGCTGCATGTCTTCTATTCGACCACTTCTGCCTTCAAGTTGGGATTGACAATCTTACCAATTTAACAGACTTGTGCTGGTAGGATTCGTTCTCTCTAAGGAACAGCATCAACATCATAGAGCCTCTCTACTAGAATGCGTAGAAGAAGAATCGGCGTTTGTGGGATATGTACAAAGGTAACGTATCCTGGATATCATTTGGCAGAAAGTTTGCTAGTCGCAGATAACGATAACTATTCGTTTCACAACACTAGCGGTCACCTTACTACCGATTTCATGGCAAGTAAGGGATGTAACGTGTTTCTGCAGCTGCACAAGCTCCTGATGTGGATTTGGGGCGATGCATGGTAAACTTTTGAGTTGACCATTCCATCCACATCTGAAATCCACAGCCCGTCTTCTTCAAGGCAAATAATTGTTATGTGTATGCCATAATGGATTGTTGATGTCAGAGTGCGTTTTTCCCCTTTTCTATCTCCTTAGCCCAGATTTGTCAGTTGCGCTGCCGGAAAGCCCTTCGCAATGGAACGGCCTATATGCTGCGGTGCATGAGGCACGACAAATAGGGCTTTTGCGGATCTAACTGCTTCTAATCTTTCGCATTTTGTGATTTCTGGCGTGCGAGTCCCTCCACGTTTATGAACGCCCACAGAACTGCCTCATGTGCTTAATAATGAAGCGGAGGGTTCCAGAGAGCATATAAACGCCACGCCAACTTCAAAAGCCATCTCATCTCTGCCTTGTTGACTCAAGTATTCACTCATGGACACTTTCAAGCAAACCTTGATACCAACAGAGCGCAAAATACTTTTGCGTAACTATTCCTGTGACAATGCTACAGATGCCATAAATAATCTTATTCGACTCGATCCCGATGTTGTGGGTATTGACATCAACCTTTCCGTCAACAACTTCGTCGATCATTTGGTCCTTGCGACGTCGACGACCATTTTCTGCATATCTTTAGGTGGGAAAGCGCGTCCTGCAAAAAGTGCAAGTCATAACTTGGATACGCTACTTCGTGGCTCGCAACTACCTTTGGTTGGTTTCGAGGCGGCCAAGGTGGCACTATATCTCTACAAAGATTGGAATTGCCATTTCAGGGGCGTGGACTTATTAACTTTGTTTTCTCGCTCTACATTACGCCCGTCGAGGCCTATGGATCTAGTTGGAATGATGCTCACTAATGCACATTCAGAAGCTGTTAGTTCCATCTGGAATTCCGCTTATCATCGTGCTTGGCTTGCCGCAAGGTATTTCTGCCAAGGTAGCTGTTTTCTGTCCAACGTTTACAAGAAGTAAACATAACAGGATTGGCGAGCAGTGTTTGGGTCAAGTCGAGGCCGCCCTTAAAGTTGACACCACTATCTTGAGAAAAGAGGTATAGCTTGATAGCTTGCTCACTCGACACAGCTAACGCATTTATAGGAACTCATATTACTGGCGACGTTGGTTCGGCAAGCGAACCTTTTGGAAAACGCAAAAGCTAAAGTGGTCGACAATGATTTTAGCCATGTCGTGGGTGGATCCAAAGGTTGGGTCATACATAACACTCGCTACAAAAGCAAAGTTAGACAAAGCGATCAGGTGATTACAGATCAATTCCCCTCTCTAGTTTGAGCTTAGCGTGCATTTTGTAGACGACAGTCATCATGACTACTAATGATGGCAAAGAGATCGTAGGACAAGCAACAAAGGCTACGGGCAAGCAGACGACTGTTCAAATACAATCGTCAGAATGTTGTGATAATATCAGAACCATACGTGTTGTTGGACAAGAAGAGTTGACATTCCCTGAGCTTGCCAGGAATGAGTTCGTCCTACTAGTTCTACGTGGGGAGCGTCAACTAGATTCCTCCAATTTTACTCGTTATCTCTGGTTCTCTTCCACGATTGAAATGCCTCAGCGTCTTTATCTTCTGTCAAAAAGACTCGATGTCATTCCTCCTAGCATAGCAAAGGGATTGAATACTTCACAACTCGAAGTAGTTACTGCCATGTTGTCCAGCACTAGCCCTCTCATATTAGCACATGGTGGCGTCAAACTTAACCTAGCTGCTGCGACACACTGTGCTCATCATCTTCATGTTAGGTCCGCCTGGTACTGGGAAGACCACAACTATCTCAACCGCGGTTAAGATACGAGCAGAAAGAGGTGAAATGATTTGGATCGTAGCACAGTCCAATATTGCGGTGAAGAACCTTGCGGAAAGTCTCTGCAAGCATGACGTAGATTTCAGGCTAGTCGTTTCAAAAGAATTCTATGTCGAATGGTATGTCATTTCCAGCATTGTTCTGTCTGATGTTGACCTATGTCAGGCACGAACATATTTATGAAAAAATCGAACGGAAATTGATACGATCTGATGAATTACGGAGTGATCTTCTCGAGTTGCAATGGATCCTTGGTGACACGACTATTTTGCTTTGTACACTAAGCATGCTATCCAACCCAGTCTTAGAAGACCGATCTGTTTTCACACTACGACCTGTAACAAACTTAGTGATCGATGAAGCCTCTCAAATAAGCGCTTTTGAATACATGGTCAGTAGTTTCCAGATAACCTATATTCCACTCACTTTGGGTTGGCTTCGTTTCAGCATCTATTTGACAAGTTTGACAAGTTAAAGACCGTGAGTTTCTTTGGAGACCCCAAACAATGTACGTCGTATTGTCGCCAACATCTCTCTTCGGAACTGACGAGGCGTAGTACCACCTTACGGGCAGGATACTGTGGCCACAATGAAAAGTATCTTTGAACTCAAACATTTGCAGCCTCAGTCTTTTTTCTTGAACGTTCAATGTAGGTCAAGGGACCTTGCATGTTCTTATCAAGCTAATGAAACTCTGATTATAGATCGTATGCCTGTTCCGTTGGGCGATTACATCTCCAGCCAGGTTTATGAATCAAAACTACAGTCCCAACACAAAATCCACGATTTGCGATGTGTGTCTTTCGTTGACGTAGACAAAGGCCAAGAAGAGGCTTCTGGAAAAAGTTGGAAGGTATGAATCAGCAAAACTAAAGTGCATAGAACAACGCCTCAAATTATGTCTCACAATTGATCAGAATGAAGCCGAAGTTCAAACGATTGTCCACCTTGTGAAACATTATTACCAGGCCAAGGATTTTTGTATCATCACTCCCTACGACGCACAAAGAGCTGCTATCGAGAATCAGCTGAAGCACGTAAATCTTCCTTGGGAACGAGTCTTCAATGTTGATAGTTTCCAGGGTTCGTAACAGCATGGTTTATCTGCCTAGTAGAAATACTAAGTATATGTTTAGGAAACGAAGCTCCATATGTTTTGGTTTCCGTCGTTCGTACGACAAGGCCCGGATTCCTGGTCTTCGACAACAGAGTCAACGTCATGCTGACTCGTTGCAAAGCAGGAATGGTGATTGTCACCAACCGTATGTTTTTACGAAATGAGGCGCAAGAAACACTGGTGGGAAAACTTGCCCGCCATTGGGAGAATACATTAGGAGAGGTGAAGACATGGACGAATTGGAGACTTGTCGCGGAAGCTCGAGCAAGCTTACCGGGAGCTGCTAGTACCCGCCCATCGGGCATATTGATTCCGAAAGAAAATAGCTCACTAGCTCAGCCAACGTGGTCCCCTCGATCTAGTCCCACATATCCCGCTCCTTCCGCCACAGGTGTCAGATCTAGGGAGCGCATCATGAAGTCGTTGAACGTTCGACAAGCTAGTCCCGACCCGTTCCCGTCTCACTTGACTCACTCCGCTGCACATCGCGCTGCCACCGCCCGCACATCTGTAACATCTGAAAAAAGCTCCAACTCTGACTTTCCAGTTCTCGAAGGTGTAAGAAGCCGTTTGAGCACAGTGAACTTGCAAGGCCAATGGGCTAAAAACTCAGACGTTGTGAAATCACCATATCAAGTCGTCGATATCAAAAAGCGTTCTCGGCGGTCTAAACGTATTCCTGCCAGCTAATATTTTATGTTATATAGGTTTCGTTCTATGATAATGTCGCCAACATTTTATTGAATTTTTGGGGTAATTTCGAGCGACGAGAGTCAGAAGCCAATTTTTGTATTAGTCTCTTATAAGAAGTCCTATCAATCAGGAATTTCATTCCAACCTTTATATTGGAGCAGAATCATGATTTGAGGTATCAATTTGTCATTCCAATAATATGGATTTGCAGTTATTGGCATATACTCATACTTTTAAAATAAGCACTCACAAAGAGTCAGAGAGAATACGTATACATGTCGTCGTAAGAGTTGTGTTGCAAGCAACAGCATAAAAACATCTGACTAATTAACGAAAACTTCCGTATAAGTCGCCGAGGCCAATTGGTTGGAAACGAACCTAGTAATTCTGTGAATAACCATTGCTCTCTGGGGCAGACCTGGCCCCAGCTGTGTCCAGATCACACAGCAGGCCATTATGTTGGATTGAGGATATCGAGAAAGGAAGCAAGGAAGGCGTGTAAGTATGAGTGGCCCGTGCGCCAATATATACCATCAGAAATTTTTTGATTCCGTTCTCTCACTTACCTATAAAGGAGGCCTAGTTACCATGTACCACCTCAGACTCTTCTACGAGATCTGAGGTGAGACCCCTTCTCTTTTACCCCCTTTCAAATACTTAGCTTACTATGATTTAGTCCCTTCTCTTATCATAGGTACTTACTTGAATACATGAGACTCTTCTACGAGATCTGAGTCCCTTCTCTTATCATAGATTTAACTCCCAAATGATTTGAGGTTATGAGCCCTGGCGACAACGCCGACAACAAAGAATCGCTGGGAGTACCGAAGCTCGAGCCGGATGGCTCGAACTGGTCCATGTATAAGACAAGGTTAGAATGGGCCTTGGCAGACAAAGAGTGCGTCGAGCACTTACTGGGCACTGTAATAAACCTAAGTGAAACTCAGCCGCTGCCCGAGAGGCTATAGAAACGACTTTATTATTTACCTAAGTGAAACTACAATAGATGTTAGTTTAAGGTGATCTCTAATAAATGTAATGTAACATACCTTAGCCGCTGCCCGAGAGGCTATAGAAACGACTGAGGTGACAAAACCGGATAAACCCGGTCTCTGCCAAAGCAGCCATTGTTCTCCATGGAGCATAGCCACCACTCCATGGAGTAACCATTGTTCTCCTAGGAGTCATTATACTGTAGCGAGTAGCACCTCCGACTATAAGTAGTAGGGGGTTTAGTATAGGAATACCTCAGTCGTTTCTATAGCCTCTCGAGCAGCAGCTGAGGTATGTTACATTACATTTATTAGAGATCACCTTAAACTAACATCTATTGTAGTTTCACTTAGGTAAATAATAAAGTCGTTTCTATAGCCTCTTGGGCAGCGGCTGAGTTTCACTTAGTTTTATTAGGTTATGAGCCCTGGTGCGCAAAAGCTACACAGGAAATAATTCTTATTTGAAACGGCAACCTCGGAACCATGACCACAGCACACGATACATCCGCATGTCCAGTTCTCACTGGACCCAACAATTTTCAAATATGGAAACTCCGGATCATCTCAAAGCTACGTCGGGAAAAAGTTCTCCGGGTTGTTACTGGAGAGGAGCTTAAGCCCTCACCAGGAAAACCTACCTCCTCGGAGGATCCTGAGATCACCTGGATACTTAAGGATGAGAAGGCACATGGAATCATCCAGAACCACATCTCTGATGCCCTCCTAATGAGGACTGGAGACCTCACCAGCTCCAAGGAGTTATTTGATAAACTTGTCTCACTCCATCAGATGTCCAACATTGCCTCGGCCTTCTATTCATTCCAGCAACTCACCAAATTGTCCTGGTGTTACGATAACACAATTTTTGGACCTTCCCTTTATTTTCATTTCTCCGCTTTAACCTTGTACTATAGCTTTCACACATGGTGCCACGCGGCTCTTCCCCTTTTGTCCAAACTCCTCTTTCTCGCGCCGCGTTGCCTTTCTTCTTATTTTAGACACAACTCTCTCACACAGTGGAGCTGGCCATGCGGGCTAGGCCCCATGACATCATCAGCCACTGTCTCTATCAACTGTATAGTACACATATACAAATAACCCTGTAGTAGTATATAAACCCCAATAGATCCAGGAGACTCCTCAGCGAGTCCTCCTGTTGTTAACCAACAAACTCTCTGCAGCCTAAGGGGTAACCACTCCCTCATCATCTTCTTTATAGTGTGTTTCTGTGTGCGCCAGAGTAACTAACTCTTGGTTGTTACATTAGGACTCGCTCTTCTACTCTCTCGCACGTTTGTGCAAAAAGTCCCACTGGGCACCCGGACTCCAGGGTGAAGGAGATTGGTTATTGGTTAGGAATATCCTGCATAGCAGATAGGTGCGCTCTTCGCGACGGCCTTGTAGTGCTTTGGGAGAAGAACCAAAACTGTTGATACGCGGCCCCCAGCGTTAAGGGGAGTACTTAGCTCAGCAGTCGGTGTGGAACCGCTGTTGATTAGAATTAAAATACAAACTTCAAATTCTCTTTCCTCTGACCAGGCCGGGCACTTGCCTCCGCCAGTTGGAGAAGGGTTGACAGCTTAACAAGTGGACCACCCCCTGACAACCGTTTGGACCAGGGTTTCTTACAAATACTTTTATATATACTTTTTCAAATACTATAGTGTGGGTAGTCGGAGATTGAGATCCGATACTCAGCTGGGAAGAGGTTGATCCGCAGATAGCAAGCGGGGGACCCCCAGTTATCTTTTTTTTACTTTACAAAGAGAACAAGTTGACATGTCGTTGCAACAAGATATGAACAGTCTGCTGCATGCCATGCGTGCACAGATTGCTACGTTAACCTCGCAACTCGCCGAGCTGCAGACCAACCCCCCTGCGGCAACCCCCTCGGTAGAGAAAAGATTCAACAAGAAAGTCGAAGTCGTCGCTGACCCTGGCGCCTTCGAAGGAGAGAGAGCGCAATTTGCCGAGTGGTGGATCAAACTCCAAATTTGGGTTAAGGCAAATTGGGACGCATTTGCCGACAACTTTGAGGTAGCCACTGTGGTGCTATCTCGACTAAAAGGACCTGTGGCGGGTCAATACGCCCAAGTTAGACTGCAGGAATGCTACACCGCGGGAGTGTGGCCGACCTGGGAAGATCTCAAGAAGGAGATCGGAAAATACTTCAAACCGCAAGCTGAGCGTGATTGGGCGCGTCAGCAAATCCGTTCCTTCAAACAAGGAAACATGAGGACAGATGATTACGTCACCTGGTTCCTGGCCCTCTCCATCCAAGGAGGGCTTGGAAATGAACATGCAGTAGAACTGCTGGAGCACAATGTGAACCCTCGCATTGCAGAACAGATCTACTTGCAGGACAAGAGAAACGAGAACTTGGCCCTGGCAGCTGAGGAGGTACGACAAATCAGTAGAGCCATGGAGCTTTACCAAATGCACCAAGGTGGCGGGTCCACCACCAAAAACAACGAATCCCAGAGGCGCCCTGGGTCATCAAACCAACATTCCCACGGGTTCAAGCTGTTCGGGCTGCAACCAGGGCAGGGAGCCCCAATGGATATCGGCGTGGTCCAAGGAGGACAGATGCGCAGATTCCAAGGGAACTGCTATAATTGCGGCCAAGAGGGACACATGTCCCGAGACTGCAGAAAAGGAGCGCAGGCCGCTCAACTAAAAAATACTCAAGGGCGCCAGGCGCGCCAATTAGAGTCTGAGAAACCGGATGATCAGCTCCAGACTCTGGCCGGTCATTCGTACGACAAAATCCGGGCCTTCTTTTACGATCAGCAAACTGCTGAAATGAAGGTTCAGGGAAAAGAGTTCGGAGCTTAGGTCACTTGGGTGCCTTCACTCCTACGAACAATGAAGTAAACCACAACAAGGTGGCCCCTGCTCCGGGGTGTTGCACAAGCAATAAAGGAAAGATGGGGATGGCTCCCCAATTTGTAAATAGATTTCTAAATTTATTATCTGAAGCATGTACTTGTATGAAAACTTGTGACTGTAATATTTACGATACTACTGCTGCACCAGCGTCTCCCTTGGAGTGTGGCCCCGGCGAGACAAACACTAGGGTGCTTGATTCTGGTAAAGATAAAATGAAAAAACATGTAACTTTCGATATCCCTTCTTCTTCGATAGAGCCACCCTTTCCCGAAATCCCAAGACGTGTGTTGATGCGCACATATTTATTCCAAAAAGAGATCCATTTAGACGTTGGTGTGTAAAACCTTGCCCGGGGCATAGTACACCCAACCAGCGAACTGCTTGATTCAGGCGCTAACGGAATTTTCATAGATCAGGTCTGGGCGGAGCAAATTGGACTCCCCCTTGTAAAATTAGATGTATCTATTCCCGTCTATAACGTTGACGGTACGCTTAACGCGGGTGGCTGCATCACGCAAAAATGTTCTTTTGTGGTCGAATACCAAGGACACAGAAAATGAGTCACCGCCGAAGCTACCCAACTAGGGAAGATTAATTTAATCTTAGGCTGGACCTGGCTATTTAAACATAATCCTGAGATCGACTGGCAGACAGGGGTTGTCACATTGTCACATTGCCCTCAGGAGTGTGTGAACTTGGGTAAACTGAATCATGTCCGTCACAATGAGCGTCTTGAGAAAATAAATGCTGGTCACGTTTATGAGCTCAGATCTTTGGAAAAGATTGACAATGACAATGATGAGGTAAAACCCAAAGAAGAGATTAAGAGGCTGGTACCTCCCGAGTACCATGACTTCTGGAAAGTCTTTTCAAAATATAAATCAGAGCGCTTCCCAGAGGCTAAGCCTTAGGACGGTGCTATAGATTTGAAGGACACCTCCAAACCGAGAAAAGGACACATGATACCACTCTCTGCTCCAGAAAGACATGAGGTATCAAGTTTCATAGACAAACAGCTTAGGAAGGGTTACATCAGACCTTCCAAGAGCCCTATGACGTCCCCGGTGTTCTTCATTCCTAAAATGAATGGTAAGAAGCGTATGATTATGGACTATTGTTACGTGAATGAGCACACGGTTAAAAACGCGTATCCGCTGCCTTTGATCAGTCAGCTAGTAGACAAATTGGCTGGTACCAAAATCTTGACAAAGATGGATCTCAGATGGGGGTACAATAACGTACGAATCAAAGAGACAGATGCTTGGAAGGCCGCGTTCACGTGCCACCGAGGGTCCTTTGAACCCCTCGTTATGTTCTTTGGGTTGACCAATTCACCGGCGACCTTCCAGAGCATGATGAACAAGATCTTTGCGGATATGGAGAACTGTGTCGTCATTTACATTGATGATTTATTAATATTTACCAAGTCGGACAATGAGGCTGAGCATGACAGGATTGTGCAAGAAGTCCTTTGACACTTACAGGAATGGGACCTATTCGTCAAACCCAAAAAATGTAATTTTAAAGTGAAGGAAGTAGACTTCCTCGGTATGATCATAGGCCAGAACAGAATCAGGATGGATCCTGAGAAAGTTCAAGCTATTTTGGAATGGCCAGAACCTACTCGCGTCAAAGGAGTTAGGGCCTTCCTTGGCTTAGGCAATTTCTACCGAAGGTTTATTGAAAACTTCGCGAAAATCACGAGACCGTTGAACAATCTCACTAAAAAGGACATTGTTTGGCACTGGGGTGCCAAAGAACAAGAAGCTTTTGATAAGCTTAAACAAGTGTTTACAACGGCGCCCATATTAGCATTTCCAGAATTGGACAAAGAGTTCCGGCTAGAAACCGACTCTTCTGATTTTGCTACTGGGGCTGTTCTATCAATTAAATGCCCTGACGATCTTTGGAGGCCTTGTGCCTATTTATTGCATAGTTTGTTGCCCACAGAGCGCAACTATCAAATATACGATAAGGAGATGCTGGCCATCATTAGAGCTCTAGAGCACTGGCGGCACTACTTAGAAGGTGCTAGACACCAATTCGAAATTTGGACCGATCATAAGAATCTGGAGTATTTTATGACGGCCCGAGACTTGAACCTAAGACAGGCCCGCTACGCAGTATACTTGTCAAGGTTTAATTATAAATTAATTCATAAGCCTGGAAGCTCTATGGGGAAAGCGGACACTTTGTCCAGAAGAGAGGATCATACCAACGGCATCGAAGATGACAACAAAGGTGTCACCCTGATAGACCAATCAAGGGTTGCCAATGTTATAATTGGGCAGGATTCCGATCTTCTGGAAGTCTTCAAGAAAGACATCTCCTCAGAAGAAAAGGCGCGCCTTGACGGCAATGAAAATTATTTATGGGAAGACGGGCTCTTCCATTTTAAAAACAAGATCTATGTGCCTGAGTCCGCAAGGATCAAGGCAATAGATAGACATCACGACACTCCAGTGGCTGGGCACCCTGGGTGGCAACAAACAATGGAGTTGATCTCCAGAAACTACATGTGGCCTGGCATGGTCAAAGACGTACAGGAATACGTAAAATCCTGTTTGAGATGTGCCATGGCTAAGAATTCTCACCAACCGCCGGCCGGTAAACTTATGCCAAATCCGATCCCAGCTGGTCCCTGGCAGGATATATCGGTGGACTTTACAACGGATCTGCCCGAGTCAAATGGGTATGATTCAGTAATGGTGGTAGTGGATTGCTTCTCCAAAGAAGTGGTGTTCATACCTACCAATAAAACCATTACCGCCACTGGTACAGCAGACTTATTTAAAGATTTTGTATGGTCTATCCATGGGTTACCAGAAATGGTTATCTCCGATAGAGGACCTTAATCCGCTAGCAAATTTACGAAAGAATTATGTCGGATGCTGGGCATCAAACCTAAACTATCAACGGCATTCCATCCGCAGACTGATGGACAAACGGAGAGACTCAACCAGGAGTTGAAACAATATCTCCGGATATTTATTAATGACAGACAGACGGATTGGGCCAAGTGGCTAAAGATAGCCCAGTTCTCATATAATATTAAACAGTCGTCGGCTACAGGAAAGGCACCATTCGAGGTTACTAGATTGTACCTCCCCAGAATGGGTGTAGAACCTGGCAAAAGACATGAAGTCTGTCTTGGACGAAACGTGCAAGGCGCTATTCAAAACTGCAGAGCAGATGAAAGACAGGGCAGAGCGTAGACACTCTAAGGCCCCTGACTACAAGGTCGGCGACCTGGTCTGGTTAGATACCGACCACTTAAAATTAAAGGATTGGCAGTCTAGAAAACTGACCGAAAAGTGGATTGGCCCTTACCGGATTAAGGAAGTCAAACCCAACGCAGTGGAGCTAGAACTCCCAAAACGAATGAGGGTAGTACCCACGGTCAATATAAGCCGTGTGAAACCCTACAAAGGGCCGCTGCTGGGACAGCGTGTAGACCGGCCCGGACCGGTTGTAGTCACCCAGGAAGGTGAAGAAGAGTTCAAAGTCGAACAAGTAGTGGATGCATGCTTGAAGCGTGGAAAATTAGAGTTCCTAGTCCTATGGAAGGGCTATGGAGACGAGGACAGAACGTGGGAACCAGAAGCCCATCTGGACAATTCCCGCGACACTGTTCGCAAATTTTATTCTAAGAATCCCTCAGCTCCTAGGAAGCTTAGAGGCATGGATTCAAAACTTTTTAATTCTCTTTTTCAACCTATGCCCAAAAACTTTACCACTACCTCCGGTATTTGGTCTCGCCTGGAAGTTGAGCCTTAGAAGGGGGGTAGTGTTACGATAACACAATTTTTGGACCTTCCCTTTACTTTTATTTCTCCGCTTTAGCCTTGTACTATAGCTTTCACACATGGTGCCACTGTAACAACCAAGAGTTAGTTACTCTGGCGCACACAAGCACACACTATAAGGGTAGTGAATGGGGAGTGGTTACCCCTTGAGCTGCAGAGAGTTTGTAGTTAACAAACAGGAGGACTCGCTGAGGAGTCTCCTGGATCTATTGGGGGTATATATACTACTAGGGCTAGAACAAGGGTTTCGACACTGTTAATATCCCTATAGTGGAGCTACATAGATGGTCTTCTTTCAGTGACCTCTGCGGATTGTGAAGGTGAGAAAACACGTGCACGCCGGCAACCCCATCCATAGCTTCACAGTTGACGCCCATTCTACACAGAACGAGCGAGCCTCCGAGTCTCGCCCCCTCCTGCACTTCGGTATTCGTCATGAAAGATGTATAACAAGCATCAGACTCCATTGGTACGATGACGTACGAGCCTTAGTTTGACGATATGTC